GAGGGATTTTGTATTATTGATGGATTTTTTCAAAGAAAATTGTCCTAGTTTTATTTAATCTGTAGCCAGATTTGTGTGTGTGTGTGTGTGTGTGTGTGTATGCTGAATTTCTTGCCTGCCAGTGAAAAAACTATGTATAGGTTTTGCCCGATCACTAGAAAAATACCAATTAATAATAATAACCAACTTTTTTTTAATGTTCCTAGCTTACATCTGCTAGGGAGTACATTACATCCCTAATTTTTTCTAATTCTCAGTTTAACCCTATTAGGTATTTCATTTCTGTTTCAAAAACAGGGAGAGTGTAGCTAGGGAAGTAACTTGCTCAAGGCAAGATAGCTACGAAATGGGAAATTTCCATATTAAGTCTGTGTTTTCTGTGGCTGAATTCTGTGCTCTTAACCGATTTGTTCGTAGCTTCTCTCCAGTATCACTTTGAGTAAATTATTCTGCGTTAGGTCAAGTGAAGAAAGAGAAGCCTCTTTTCAAATAACATAGTTAGAGGGACTGGAAATAATTTGATGTTTTAGAATTCACTTAAAATGATAATAATAATAAACAATTACCAAAAGTTCTTACGTACTAGGAACTAGTATACATATAGTTTCTATATACGAGGACTATAAAACATATCACATATATTAATTCACTTATTCCTTGTAACAACTCTATGAAATATCACTATCCCTAAAATTATCTCTTTTTTATGAATGAGAAAACTGAGGACACTTGAGGTTACAAAAGCAGGTCCAAAGTCACCAAGCTAGGAAGTAGAGAGCTGGAAATTGCACTGAGGGACTGTTTTCAAGCTCCATACTCTTGTGACTCCTTAACTAGGTGTTCAGGGGACAACAGTGAGGATTCAGTAAAGGAGCAGAAGTTACATAACTGGAAACCTACTAGTGGACTCAAGCCTTTGAGTGCCATTAGGTTGGAAATGGGAAGACCTCCTTCCTATTCCATTCCATTGCCCCCATTTCACTTTGGCCAAGCCGTTGCCCAAAGGAAGAATGCAATTATTTCCGGATGTCATTAAGCAATTATATATGTTTTTTGAATACACAAGTCAGTGGATATTCTGAAGAGTGATACAGCAAGTAATGCCTAAAACAGCAAACAAATCCGAAGTGCCAACAATAAATACATGCAGCTTCCCCGTCTAGACTCAGACCTTTTGTATTGAAGGACTGGAAGTGAAAATGAGTGATAAACAGGTACGAGAAGGAAGCAACTGTGGGACAGGTGTGATGGAAGAGGCAAATGGCAGGAACCCGCAGGCAGTGTGGTGTAGCAGAGGACAGGAGCCGAACTAGGTCAGTGTTTATCAAACATTAGTCAACCTTCACCTGCTACCTTCATTACTGGCTTAATTTCACGAAGCCAGTGCCTTGTTTTTAAGCTTAAGCATGATTGTAAGAACTATATATGCAATGACAAATTTAGTAACTATTTTTTTCTGATATACATACACATCCATACGTAGTTTATTACTATAGTACCTAAAATGACTTCATGTACTCTCAGCAGTTTAAGTACTATTTTGGGACACTGAACTCTAGAATTAGGAGATGCCATGTAGAACTGAAGGAAAGCTCATGAAATAAAGCCATATGTATCCAGTAGAGAGTCACATCAGAATGGGGTGAAAATAAGAGTTGAATGGTCTGGAGTAGCTAAAAGCCATAAAAACAAAGGGCATCTCTGTCCCCCACAGCGAGGGCCAGCGAGGGTATGGTAGAAAGACTAGTACAGTAAACTACTGAAGAATAACCAGAGATTCAGTTTAGGGGCCCCAACTCAGATTAGAATCTGGAATCCATTGCAGAAGGAAAGCTCCCTTTATCCCCCAGGGGAGGTGTATGCCTTTTTCTTAACGAAACCTTCTTCCACACTTTTGTGAATGAAGCAAATATGGCCCTCTGCTTACTTTTTTCATTCTTTCTCAGATACTTTATTTGTTCTTTCGGAAATAGCAATACGGGCAGATTTTGATTACTATAGGGTCATCCTAATTCTGAAGAGTTGGGAGCATTCATCAGTGGTGATACATATATTATTTTATATATATATATATGCAATATAAACATTATATAGTGCAAGATTTAAAAAAAGAAAATGTGGAAATCAAAGTCCATCAAGACTCTAAGTTCATCTCTTCACTTAAAAGTATTTGACTGAGTTGCATATAGGTTCAGAATAACAGTAGCATTAACACAAAGAAGGACTTTTTAAAAGTTTAAAGTAGTATGAAATTGCCAATATTTGCTGTTTTTGAGAAGGCAATCGATATACATGCTATTTGCTTAACAAGTTAATGGTTTTTAGGTCAGAGGAGGGAGTGAGACCAGAGGGAAGAGGAAAACTCACATTTTATTTCATATATGTCTGATTTTTTTTTCACAAGGGACAAAAGGGAAATATATTCATTCATGTATTATTTGGTTTTATAACACAAAATGATCACATCTAGCTTTGCACAAATCTAGCTTAGAAAGTATACATATCTAATTGATATTTTCTACAAGGGAAATTTACTTTAATTGGTATTTCCAATGTGACACACCAATTGGCACAGAGCTTGCGTTTTGCAGCACTCTTGAGCGGCTTCATTCCCTGTTATTGCTGAGAGTGATGGGGTCCTGTTGCTGGTGGCAATGTTGATCAACAGCGCTTGCCAGCTAGAAGCCAGGGCAACATCAGCACGTGTCTTACTAAGGAAATCAGTTTCTCCTTTTTGTCTTCCTGAGGAGACTGAATTCACCTACTATGTGTCTGCAGCTATACTATGACAGAGCAATCAATCAACTCCTTGCTCACATACATATTCTTGCAAATTTATGTTTCTTTCATGGACAAGGAAAATCTATTTTTAGTTTGTAATCGTAACAACTGCAGAGACAAAATTAGTTTAAAAAATGAATTTTCTTATTACAAACCTAGAGTTAGATGTAATATTTAAAAATAAATCAGGGATTAAGCCTAGGTATTGTGATGTAGGTATTCTCTGCAAGTATATTAGCTGTAAAGAAACATTCCTGTATTTTGACTTGAGGTTCTGCTATGATAATCATTCTAACTCTCTGGACTACAAATTTATAAAATTATAAAACCAAGTAATGAAACACATGTAAAAAGTAATAGGTGTTATTATACATAATGAGGCCATTATCCCTATACAGTACTTTTTTTCCCCAGAACAAATGTATAAAGCATATTTATTCCTGCAAAGTAAGCAATGTTTAGGCAAACTGTAGGTAAAACCTCTTGCAAATTTACACATGATCAAGTAGTCTAAGGAGATGTTTGCAGGCATTTAGAGTAACAAGGGACATTTTTAAGGTTTTGGGGTAGGGAATGGGGACACTGTCAGCAGCTCAAGAGCAGGAATCCTCCAGATGACATTTGCATTCTCTGGGCTTTCAGATGGGCTAAGCAGGATTCATTCTTGTTGAGCTCTGCACTAGGGCAACACTATTATTAATTATGCAAACTTTTTTTTTGGATGGATAAGAGAATTTGAGAATGACTCAGCAAGAGATTTCAAAATCAAACGCCTCTACCTGCTGATTGAACATGTTCTTTTAAAAATCTGGGCATTAGGAGTTTAAGATCTATGGAAGGGAAGCTCCATTATTGCAGTGACCTCTGAGAAAGACCCAGTTTTGTAAAGAACATTTGGTCAGTTCAGTTCCACCTAGCCTTGCTATACTTTAAGTTGAAAATAGTTGGTGCTTTTTCAAGATTGGCTTCTTACTTTTCTCTAACAAACATGAATAAAACCTAGTAAAATCTCCAAATCTCCAAACCAAAGATGACTTTATCATCAAAGGGGTGTGTGTGTGTGTGTGTGTGTGTGTGTGTGTGTGTGTGTGTTTGTGTGTTTACCTTCATACATTTCTCCAGATGATAACTTGGATCCGGGGAACACTAGTTAAATAAGATGTAAGGCTTTTTTTTTTTTTTTTTTTTTTTTTTTTAACAAGTCCTTGCTAAAGTGACAGTTAAAGATTTAGTTGGAAAAGCAAAGCTCCCAATCACTAGTCCCTTCGAAGCTTGTTGGGGGAGAAGTCATCTCACCTATTTTGGAAACTACTTGCAGATGTGGGGAAACCTCGGAATTGCTCACAACAGGGGTTTTGCAGAGATTTCCTCTGATTTTTTTCCTCCCCAATTTCCCACAACCTGTGTTTGTCTTGAGTCTGCTCGGCTGACATGTGGTTTACCTCGCTGACCCTCCTGCCAGGTTTTACACCCTCTCCTCTGAAGAAGTAAAACATTACTGAAGCCGAAGGATACAGAGCAACTCTGCTCACGGGCGCCAGAACTGTCACAGAAAATTTGCTTCCCGAGTATTCCATCCAACTTCCCTTCCTGCGCCCACGTGAGCCATAGCGCCAGCCCATCGGCAAGGTCTCAGCGTTTCCTGCTGCTGCAATCTGTAACTCGATTTTGGATTTTTTTTTTTTAAATTGCAGTTCTGAGGATCTTAGTTCTTAGCAAAACTTTGTTGGTTAGGAGACTTTTACAGCAGGCTGTTTATTTTCTTACCAAAATCGTGAAGACTTGCACACTTTTCCTCCATTCCTGCCCTGCTCTAAGGTTAAACAGCAGCAAAGGAAAGAAATACACACTCGCTGTTTATTTGGGGGGAGGGGAAATATGGATTTGCAGCTAAGTTATCACGATCCTTCGCTCCACCCCCGGTCTGGCACTTTCAACTGACACGTACATCATCTATTAATTGTTGTTTACCGACTCAGATACATAATATATTCATTTTTATCTTTGGTAAAATATAAATGGAATTGTCAGCGCGCTCCTGTCTGTTTGTTTGTCTAAGGCTATCAAAAGAAGTCAAGAGAGGAGGCTGTGGCCCGGATCCTGACCCTGATTGTATGAATAAGTAAGCAGGATGCAAGTGATTGGGTTAGATGGTGCGAATATTTTTTTTTTTCAAGTTAGGAAGAGGGTAAAAAGACAGGCTGGCGGGGGGAAGGCAAACAGTGCATCCCCAAATCCTCACACTTTTGCTCTCTTGCAGTCAGTTGCTTTGCTGGCTTCTGCAGGCTTTTAAGGTCTCGCGGCGTAGAAATGCCTGGCCCCCACCCCCTTCCTCGGTCTCCCCTTTCAATTCAGATGTGCTGATGTGCAGACCGGATTCATCTTCTCGGAGCGGCGGCGGCGGCTTTGGGCTCAGGCGGCGGCGGCTCGCGCTCGGCCGCGGAGTCCTGGCAGCAGCGGGGACGCGGCGCGGGAGCCCGAGCACTGGTGGCAGCTGAACCCGCGGGGCGCCGCTGGCCGAGCCGCGGCCGCGGGAAGTTCGGCAGCCAGAAGAACGATCTGGCAGGCTACGAGCGCCCGCGCCGCCAGAGCCGAGTTTGCCTGCGCCCTCCCCGCCTCCGAATGCCGAGTTCCTTACCTGCCCTCCGCCCACCCGCGGGCCCCTAGCCAACTTCTCCCTGCGACTGGGGGTAACAGGCAGTGCTTGCCCTCTCTACCGTCCCGGCGGCATCCACATGTCTCCGGACACCTGAGCACCGCGGTCCCGCCGAGGAGCCTCCCGGTGGGGAGAAGAGCACCGGTGCCCCTAGCCCCGCACATCAGCGCGGACCGCGGCTGCCTAACCTCCGGGTCCCGTCCCCTCCTTTTCCTCCGGGGGAGGAGGATGGGGTTGGAAAAGCTTTCCCTGAGGATGCTCGTGTGGCTGGTGGCCTCGGGGATTGTTTTCTACGGGGAGCTATGGGTCTGCGCTGGCCTCGATTATGATTACACTTTTGATGGGAACGAAGAGGATAAAACAGAGACTATAGATTACAAGGACCCGTGTAAAGCCGGTAAGTGGCTCTCCAGGTTGGGACAGTGGCTCTCCAGGTTGGGACGGTGGCGCGCCGGGGGCCGCTGCGCTGGGTTTCCGATGGGTGGCGGTGGGAGCTCACCTGTTTCCTTCCCTCCCGCGTCAGCCCCTCCGCCGCCCCTCCTTCTCTCCCCCTCCTTTCTCTTCCCTTCCCCACCCGCGAGTGGCAGCCGCTGCGGCCCCAGTTAACGAGAGTTCTATGCTAGTGGGATCCGCTGCCAAGCTCCCATCTCCCAGTTTGGGAATAACGTCCTGGAGTTTCTGATCCCTCTCTCCTCCCCCACCGAAATGAAACAAGTCGTAAATATAGCTGGCTGCTGTAGGTTTTAAATTCCAACACTCAGCGGGCTTTATGCATCTGGAAGGGACACCGCCTTCTTCCCCCCGCCCCCCACCAGGGCGCGGTTTCCCAGCGCTCGTTCGAGGCCGAGTGGGCAGGGTTCCCCAAAAGATACTGGAGGATGGCATTGCTACCTCCAGACACCTTGGCTCCCTCTTTTACCAGAAATTTCAAGTGTGGATTCCAGGCTAGAAGGGGATTGTGACAATCTCGGAATAACTCACTTCTAGACGGGATTCTGATGCATTTGCCCATTTAAAATAAACTGAAAAAAAAAATGTTTTTAAGTTGCTACCCCATTCAAACTTGTGTCTTCCTTCCTGCTGACACCCCAGGGAAATGCAGTCGGACCAGCACTGCCTGAAGCTCAGCTTCTCGCCTCGCAGGGTCCCTGAATGTCCCAGGTCCTTCCCCTCCCTTCTACGCCTCTGGCGCCGCTGCCAGCCTCTCTCGCGCGCGGGGCGGCGCTTCCCTCTCGCCGCCTAAGGTCGGAGACGCACGTGCCCGGGGCCGCTACCACGTGAGCGCAGCGCCTGGGGGCGCCCAGCACTGGCGGAGGCTCCTGTCCGGGCTCCGTGAACTCCTGGTTCCTTGCTGTATTGGGCTGTGGCTGAGGTGATCCGCGCTCAGTGTGGACGCACGAATAACTTCGTAAAGGTTGCACGGTGGTTGGGGCTAACCTAGTGGAGCGGTTTGTAAGCGGAAGGCACGTTGGGTTCCATCCCAAGAGGTGTGGGCTTTAGCGAAGCGTAGAGGAAGGGAGTGGACAAAGTCAAGTATACCTGGGGTTCTCCAGATTCCGTGCTCGGTGACTGGGTTTTCTTCCCTTCCATAACCAGATAAGCATTATTCATCCTCTCTTGGGCCTGGAGGAAGGAGAGGTGTACACAATGAAGAACAATGCTGGAAATTCCCTAGTTAATTTTTACCTTTGATGACACATTGTTCTGACAAAAAGGGTATGTGTGTTCTGTTCACATTATCATGTCTTTCTCGGTGCACCCTTAAGTGCAGATACTTATTCAAAACTCAGAGTAGCTTAGCAGGAGCCTGTCAGGCTGGAACTCAGAATTCTGATTTAATTCGGTTTTGCTGATAAGTTTCCTGCTGTCACTTTTAATAACTGTATCTATTTTCCCACTGAAAGTTTCTTGGGCCACCCCGGATGGTTTGGACAAGGAGATGCTGATTGCTGTGGCGGGTGACCAGTGGCTGGGCATTCAGAATCTGCTCTCTGCAACTCCTTAAATGTACTTTTTGCTAAGAAATTTCTTTTGAATAATGTTGTAACTTGCTGAAAATTGTGCGTTTTCTTGTTTATGGTAGGGTAGAGATGAAGTACATTATTTCAACAGATTGTGTAGGAAAACATCTACTTTGATACCTTGTTGTGTGAAAGATTCAAGCAGATAAGTATTTGCACCATGTGTATTGAAACACACCTCAGACATTAATGTTTAGTTTCTTTAGCAAATAAACATCTAGGTAAAACAAAAAAACAAAACAAAACAAAAAACTTTAATAGCATTTACTTTTTGTTTCCCCTTTGATGCTGGTTTATTTTTGAATAAAGCTGCTGAAAGTAAAGCAACAACAAAACCAACGTTGAATGGATTATTACCCTAATCTTATTTCTTCTCTGTTTTTGAGAAGAGGCATACCAGTACACACCTGTGTGTGTGTTCACACGCATGCATGTGTGTGTGTAATGAGAGAGAAATAAGAATGGCTTAAGTGGAGGGCTAAGAAGTATGCACAGAATATGAGTCCCTTTTAAAATTACCACCCTGCTTTTGAATTTAGGCTTCAATTTACCGTCTTGGCTAAAGACGGGCAAAATTTTAGTGCCTCCTTTCTAGCACTGGGAAAGTCAAATCAAAGTTCCAATAACAGGAAAAAAAATGAAATAATACATTGAAATCCCAAGCAAGAGTCAAAAAAAAAAAAAGAAAAGAAAAGAAAAAAAAAGGTCACTGAGATAAGGAAGATGGGGACAGCTCTGTGAAAGACAGCCATGCAAAAGCAAAAGAGAAGGTACTTTCCAGACACTTGGGGCACCTTTGATCTGCCCTTTCCAAATAACAGATTGGAGAGCGTGGCCCATGAAATAAAGGGGCCTGTCTGAGCTTCTCTAACAGGGTCTTCATATTCCTTAAAATACACAGTGGCTTGGTATCACAACGACAACCATGGCTTTGTGGTTTTAAAGCACTTTTGAGTGCTGGTGTTCACAACAGCTCAATATGGTAGAGTTTGTTACTCTTCCCATTTTACACGTAGGAAAACAGAGATCCAGTGAGGTTACATGTCTTTGTTAGGATTACTCAGAACTCGATTCCAAGTTTCCTGGCTGCAAAGTCTGGCTGTATCTGACAATTACACTACATTCATTGTGGGCCTTTTGGAGGCTTTCATTGAGAAGATAATAGGAATTAGTCCAGGTTTACCAGGAATCCAGACTAACAGAGATGCGATTACTTGCATATCTGATATAGGTGAAGTGAGGAACATAGCTTCAGATTTTCGAAACTCAAATCCTTGAGGACAGAAATCAGAACTGGTTTTTAATGTTTATCACAGGAATGGATTACTGCTGTTAGGAATTTAATATGTTCTGAATACCTTCTTGATATCTATAGACTGGTTGATACTGCCATTTACAAACTTCTTTTCTAAACAAGATCAAATGTGTGTTACCCAATGAGATTTGCTTCTCAATTACAACTTTAAAAATTGTACTATCCTCAACACATTTGTGAAATAGAATGCAATTTGTTTACCTATCAGAACTCTGATTTCAAGTTCATGAAACTATAGGGTAGAAAGGAATCCTTGTCTTAATTTGATAGAATTTTTACTCAGAAAGACATTATAGGTATAAGTGATAGTAGGTAAATATACCCACACAACTGCGGATATATTTATGTAGCCAAATCCATTAGGATAAAATATAGGTATTTTATTTCTCTATATGAGTAGATATACACAAAGATACAGATAATTCAAAAGAATGTCTGGCTGTCTTTCATCAGTGCAGTACACAATCACCTGAATATGTAATCACATTGCTCTTACTCTCTAGGTCAGGAAGGTCCCAAGGGACATTGGGAAGCTGATGCTGCAGGCGCTCATTCCAGAGTAGAGACTGAGGTGTCCTGTTTCATTGTCGTACTATAGAAATAAGTGTTAATCTGAGTATTAATATCTGTGAAGAGCCTGGGAAAATTTAGTTTGTAAATTAATCTTCTGCCAAGTATGTGTACAGATTACATGGAAAAGCAGATACCTGATGAAGTAACTGTGTATTAGCACATACCCTTCCTTCTCTTCTCTCCTTCTCTTCTTCCCTCCCTTCCATTCCTTGCTTTTTTCCTCCCTCCCCTTCTTCCCCTTCTTCTTTCTTCCTTTCCATCTTTTTTTTTTTATGTATATTTAAGAGAATATTAGGAAAGCTCAGGCAACTGCAAATAGAATATCTAATAGGAGAAATTGAAGAAATTAATGTTTTGAATCTTGGGTAGAGGCATATAGAATTGGTGGAGTAAGATGTGTATGCAGAATGATATCCTTACTCTCTGTAGACATTTGTGAACACCTTGACAAAAGATTTTCTACCTAGAAGCTCCTGAGTAAATGACTCCTAATTTTGGAAAAAAACAAAAAACCCCGAGCATGATTAAAGGTCAGTGCCTTGCAAGGTGAAATTTGCCTGTAGAGGAGCATCTGCAAGCCTGTCTATATCGAAATAGGCTTTTGGTGTTTTAGAAAACTCTTTTTGCTTTTCTTTATAGTCGGTGCTCCAGCGTCCTAGTATGCTAGGCCTTGTGATAATTTTCCTCAGTTTATAATTTCTAGGTTACATTGCCTCGTTCTTTTGGCCCTCAGTGTTGTACTTTCCAGCTGAACTGGCCATTTTCGAATTAGATGTCCTATTCCATATCTTTATTCCATCGTAGTTTTAGATGTCCAAACATTTATTTCTTAGTCGGTGCCTCTCTAGACTGCTGCACTCTCATTTACAAATGTGTTTCATAGAGCTGCCTCACCTAATCAGTTTCTTCTGTTTTAATTTTCATTCCTCAGATCTTGATTTTTTTTTTTCTCTTCTTGCCTTGGGTGCCAACTCAGAAGTGGCCAAAATACGCTGTTTGCAAAAGGGATGGATAAGGCATTATATTCTGTACATTTGAATTCTGCTCCTCTTTTGTCAACAGTAATTCCTTAGTCTTTGTCTTGAGGGCCTACATCCATATTTGGTCCACAATGGCAGTTACTGTTATTAGGTATGAAAAAGATAGATTTTTTTTTTTCTTAAATATATTCCCTCAGACTGAGCGAGGTCAAAAGCTCTTCTTTTCCATCCTTTTTGTTTGTTTACATAGTCTCCTGAGATCGTCCCACGTTTTGCTTCTGGATAGTTTCATTCACAAATTCAAAACCTAAGTGGAACCCCTTCTCTTAGCTAGTTGGTGTAATAATGCATAGAATTCTTATTTCAAGTAGGTGCCCAGTCAACCCTACTTTACTCAATGTAGGCCTCGTTAGATCAAGGTGAAACAGTTCATATGGAAAAGTTAACATATAATTCCACAGCTTTCCCTCTTACCCTGATGATGGCTTCCTTTTTCTTCTTCTCCTCC